ACTGGGGAAAAGGCAATGGAGCTTCTGAGCTAGAAGCCCTGAGCTTTCTTTCCAGTTCCACCACTTGTATGTGTGTATACACACATACACACCCCCCCACACACACACACACTCCACATATCTGGGCTCCTGCCTAGGCCCTTCTGAGCCTGTCCCTCTATTTGGCAGTAAGGCCCTTGCAAGAGGGAGGAACCCCCAGAAGAGACTGAATACTAGCTCTCCTTTCCTTAAGGCCCCTGGGAAATGGCTCCAGTCCCATACAGGATGTTTGAGACATAGGGAATCAAAGCTCTCGCCTGCATAACCTACTGAAAAGGGAATACAGAACCCATGTTCAGGGACATAAGCAGAGGCCAGACCCCAGCAGTGGTATGTCAGGCTGAATGCCAGCTGTCTCCCAGGCAGAAGTCAAACCTCCCCAGAGCCCAATATGGCAGCCTCTCCCTGCTGCTTTGTCTGGCAGGACCCAGGACAGAGGTTGTGCATACCTTGGGCAGTGAGTACTTGGGCAGCTTTATCTGGGCGAAGGCCTCTCTTCGATAGGACACGTAGTAGCTGGCTCTTCCACCAGTTGTTACCTGGATCACAGGGGAAACACAAAGAAGTCAGATGGGGCCAGGGGTCAGATGGGGCCAGGGGTCATGGCCAAGTTGAAAGTACTAGCTTCTCCATCAACAGCCACAATAGGTTTGTGATAACCTTTTAGAGAATAACCCTTGCTGGCAACACAGCACTGAGTTGCTCCCATGTCATAGCACGTAGACCACAAATGAGCAATTACAACAGACTTTCCCAATGGTTGACACTGTCTCTGAGAGCAGGGACTCTATTTGGTCACTGTGCTCTGCATATATACACACCCAATAAGTATTTTTAGAAAACAGAAGCCATGACATGGGATGTACCCATGATCTATTTATTCTGCCTTAAAAAACAAGTTTCTAATCCAATGCAGTCATGACATGATTGTGAAATGAATTTTTTTCTGATTCTAAATAATCACTATTGCTCAAAAACTCTTGTTACTTTGAAATTTCACTTCTGATCTGAGCACATTTTTTTCCTTCCTATTGACAAATCTATGCACTAAGCAGATATGTTTTGGTCCGTTTCACATGCAAGTTATTTAAAGGAATCAAGGCTCAGAGGAAGAACTCTAGATTGCAAAGTGAGAAATCCTGGGTTTGAGTCCCAGCTCTGCTACCTGATGGCTGGGGGAGTCAAACTCTGTAATCATCTCACTTGGGAAGGATGGATTCTTAGAAGAGTCTGGAAACCACTTCAAGAAATGGTCTGGCCTGGGCTTGTTGAAAAGTCCTGCCAACATGGCACAGTTCTGCAGATGGCTGCTGTCAGCCCAATCGTCCTAACTTGGGGGGAATTAATATTCACAAGAAAAGATACCATAGACTGTTCAGAGAAAATAGCAGGACGACAATAGCAACCAGGCCGCTGTGCTGAGGAGGCAATTACTGGAGGCACCCACTCTGTTCTCACCAAGCACTTGCTGGAGACGGGCCAGCCCTCCCAATCCAGTCGGAACCTGGCGCCCATCCACAGCGGGAGGTGCAGGGAGCAGAAATGTCACGTCCCTATTGAAAGCCGCCCATCGCTCCCCATCCAAGAGAGGGCATCTCCCACAGCTCCCCCTTGCTCTGCACAGATTGGGAGCCCACAAAGCAGACAGTGCAAGCTGCCAGGTGGAGCAAATGTTAGAGTCTGTGGGGAGGCAGAACCTTGTAAAAAACTCGGTGCAAAGACAGGCTGTGAATCAAGAGGAGAGACTGATTTTGTCCCCACTGTTCAATGCTATCCCTACATCTCTATTTCCTCATTAGAGCCATTCATGTTTTGTATTCCAGGACTTTGGGGTTTTGTTGTTGTTGTTTAATTTGGGTTTTTGTTTGTTGATAAAGACATCCGTTCTCAGTCTATATTGTGCTGCACTGGCTTAGAGATGGGGTGTTCACATATTAAGATCAATGAGTTGTTGAGTAGTCTTTTCCTTTTTAAATCTCAACTGCATAGAACAGATTAAAATATAATCTTTGGTACTAAACACACAGTCACCACTAGTCCTTGCTTGATCCTATTTGTGCGTTTCATTTCATTTATTTATGTTTTAAATTCCAGTCCAGTTAAAATGAGGTGTTATGTTAATTCCAGGTGTACAATATAGTGATTCCCCAATTCTATATATTCCTCAGTGTTCATTATAAGTGTCCTCTTAATCCCCTTCACCTATTTTTTTTTTAATTTTTTTAATGTTTATTTATTTTTGAGACAGAGAAAGATACAGCATGAACAGGGGAGGGTCAGAGAGAGGGAGACACAGAATCTGAAGCAGGCTCCAGGCTCCGAGCTGTCAGCACACAGCCTGACACGGGGCTCGAACTCATGGAGTGTGGGAT